CATGTTTATATTATGTAGTTTTTTTAACATACAACATTCTGAACATTCCCAAGTAGATTAAACCATGTCATATTAGTTTAATATTGCTTCACTCTTAAGGAGGCGTAAGGGGGAAATTTTGTGCATAATTTAAGTCCGAGAAACATGACTATGACACCAGGATGAAAAGTGAAAATGGTCTAAAAACGCCTGGATTTTACACTGTAATAGGATCCAACTGTTACTATCCTGATGGAATGTCACATTTTACAACAAGCTGCCACCGACTGACTTATAATAGAAACAGGCAGAAACACAGCCAAGTAGATACAACCTTCTGAGCAGAAACTGCGTATCAGCAGTTGGATCTTAAAAACATGTCAATAGTCAAATTACTACTGAATGATAGCTTGTCTACCAAAAAACAAATTTTGGGAGAAAGAGTCTGGGATCTAACATTTGGAGGGAGAGCGAGCAGCATTGTGAAGAGGATGCATACAAAGGCGGGTGGGGGCAGCCCCACGTTAGAGTAAAATGCTCTTATCTCATGTGTCACCTGCCTAAGGACTCCAGCTCTCTGGCTGACGGCCCATCATCCTGCTGTCAGGCTAGAAGGTCACATGCCAATCAGGAGAAGGGAGGTGCCAGACCAAGAAGAGCCTGACTCCCATTTGAAGCTCGAGGAAACTGAGGCACAGATCTGGCTACAAGTGGAACCCAAAGATCTTTTCATGACACAACAATGCCACTGGTCAGGCAAAACCCCTTCTGGCTAGGACAATGGTCCTCAGCCTTGACTCCCAATGAGAATCACCTGGGGGAACTTTCTAGGTGGTTCCCAGCCCCTGAGATTGAATTGGTGTGCAGCCCCAATGTATGGGGGTTTTGCAAAGCTCCCCAGGGATTCCAAGTGCTGCTAAGATGTGAACCGCTCAGCATCTTCACTGATACAAAGAATTTAAAGAAGTCACTCAAACTTCTTTTATGCCTATCAGAATATTTCATGTTATTAAAAGAAAGTCATGGAAGTAGCAAAAATCTTAAGCGGGCATGTGCTTTAAGAAAAATGAGTTTATTCACTAGAGGAGAGTAAATTTTTCTAGGATTAGCATTTTCCAACTTGGCATTCATGCAAAGCTCTATCAAATACAGATCCATGTTTCAGACAACCGAAAAAATGGTATTCGTTTCCATTACTGTATGGAACTATATTTACTGCCTGGAAACTAACAATATTATTTGAGAACCCTTAAATGTCTGGTTAGCTTGGTGACAACTGAATAAACTCTTATTCTAGGGAACCAACGAACCACTGCCAACAACCCAAAGCACATGTAATTACTGGTTCAGAGCAGCAGCGCTCTGCTTTCTCAGTAAAAAGAAAAAAGGCCCAGAAAGAACAAAGTAATGGAATATTTGCACAACAGAAAATCATCTTATTTTAATAAAAGTTTGCATTCCTTTGTAACAGTGTGGATCTCTCTAATAATATTACTTGAAATTAATGACGATACAGTTATTTTTTAGATAAACATTTAATGAACATATTCAGTATAAATTATTTACAATATTGATGATGATCTGGCTAACAAAAACAAATTTACATATCAGACCCAACTGTTATAGTTAGAAAACAGCTTTGGATGCAAATTCTCTAATAAATTGGGAGTTCAGGTCAACTTCTTTCATTCCTCTAAGACTAAGGTTAGAGAAGAGTATGAACAAATGTAAACAGGTTTGACACAACCTTTTTCCTTCACACCATCTGCCGTGGTCTGGATGCTTGTGTCCCCCTCGAATGCATATGCTGAAATTCTAACCCCTGAAGGTTATGGTATCAGCAGGTGTGGCCTGTGGGAGGTGATGAGGTCATGAGGGCGGAATCCTCATGAATGGTATTAGTCCCTTTATAAAAGAGACCGGGAAGAGCTCCTTCATCCCTTCCACCACGTGAGGGCACAGCGAGAAGGCTGCGACCCGGAAGAGGGCCCTCACCTGATCAACCGTGAGCACTCAACTTCTGCTGTTTCTAAGCCACTTGGTCTGTGGTGTTTTGTCAGAGGAGCCCAGCAGGCTAAGACACCATCACTCACACAGGGGGCCCTCCAACAGACTGGTTAAGGAGAGGGGATGGCCAGACCACCAGCACAGGGACTTCTGTCAGCAACGTCGTTAAGGGTCTGCCTACGCAAGGGTCAGACACGACCGACCTGAAGTAGAATCACACTTTCACAACAGCACCCAAAGGTGACAGACCAGCCTTAAGGAAGAATGGCCTTTAAAATAATAAAGCTGCCAGACTGAAACCTCAGAGGCCATATCTTTCCACCCAGAGGGATGGCTTCAGCTAGATGAGATAGATCCCTTTCCAGGACGGCTTCCCAATGGCCTGCAGTCACATCTGCTCCCATCACCTTGTCTGAGCGCATCACAGGGCTCGTCGTCTTCAGGGACTCCGACTTCCTTAGCCCAGTGGGTTTTCCCCTCTTCACCGATTGTTTACCTTTTACAGGTTCAACAGGCAAAGCTCCTATTGCCCCCATCGGAAGCCCCTGACCCTCCTAGTGGAGAGGCCAGTTTCCAACAGAGGCTCCTTTGCTCCGTCACCAATGCCACCAACCTAGTGCAAACACCTTAACGGCTCCCCTGGACAACGAATGTCAAGAACCTCCTAGGGGGTCTCCTTGCTTCCTCTCTTCTTCCCGACGCACCCTCCTTCCCTAAAGACATTCTCCACCCAGCTTTGCAATTAGCATAACATCTGAATCCCTACCATGGCCTCCAAGGTCCTCCATGGAACCATTCCCCGGCTGCGTCCAACCTGGGCCACCACCCCCACCTCTCCCTCTGCCATGGGGGCCCCTTTGTGCCCTCTGAATACACTCAGTTCATTCCTGCACCAGAACTTTCCTGTTTGCTATTCCCTCTGCCTGGACGCCGGCCACACAAAATCTACACAAGGAGCTTCATCCTGTGAGCCAAGTCCAAGCTGTGCAAAGAGGCCTTCGGGGGTCATTCAGTTCCCAGCCCCTGAGATTGAATTGGCCCCATGTTGACTCCTCTCTGCACGTCCTCTTGACCTGCACTGTCCCCAGAGCCATTCTCTGCCTCTCTCCCTCCTTCTCCTGGCCCTGGAAGGCTGACCCCATCTATGGACTGTATTGCTTGGGCTCCCCTGCCTCCTGGCTGCCAGCTGGGTTCTGCCAACGGGATCAGAAAGCCGGGCCAAGTCGAGCAGGGCATTTCTTCCCTGCCACTCCTGGCTTCAGCATCTCAATTCCACACCTTCACATCAGCAGCTCCTGCCAGGCGGCTCCTCTCCTAGGGTTCCAGCAACACTACTTCCTCCCCTTGGTCCAACACCCCTTGCTGATCCCCTCAGTCCGGGCCCAATTAATCAGTTCTTCATTAAAACCTCTTGAACCTCCAAACGTCCCTGTTAGGCCCTGATTGATATGACCCAGCCCCATCTCCTCCTTGGTCCCTCTCCATCACATTATCCTGCTTTATTGTCTCCACTGCACTTATCACTATCTGAAGTGACCTTGTTCACTTACTTTTTTCTATTGTCTATTTCCCCTCAACCACAGGCAGCTCATGGCGTTCACCACTGTCTCCACTGGGCCTAAAACAGTGCCTGGAACAAGTAAGCATTCAATAAACAGCAAAAGAATAAACAAATGAATGAATGAGACAAATGCAACAGTATGAATGGCTAGACATCAAGGTAATAAGTGCACTCTTATATAAGCTGACCTTGCTCCATGAAAGAGAGCCTAGGACCCCTAAGAAAGAGACTTGAAATGCTGGTTAGACCTTTGCCTCAGGCAGAGAAAAGGTTTTAGAGTAAGATAAGGGAGACCCTGTATTTGTGACAATTGTTGCTTTAGAAAGCATGCACGGAAGCTTACCTAAGCACGCAGCCACTGTAAAGCCTTTCTGAAAGTAGACAGGCATATAAATTATAAATAAATGGGATTAAGCGCACCATTCTCTGTTCTACAGTGGTGTTCCTCTTGGCAGCAGCCTTCGACTACAGTTCATTGACAGTATGTGCAGACCCAGAGCCAAGCATGGAAAGCATTGCTTTTTTAAACAGCTGCTCTCCTAATGGAGCATATCTCTCAAAGACAGGCTTCATTCTGCAACGCCTACGTTGTCCAAATTTTCTTCTGCATGCTAATTGCCGATTTGAAATAAATTCCTCCTCCCCACCACCACCACCATTGATTACTCATTATTGCTCCCTCACCCTCCAAGTGTCTAAACTGTGTGAATTTGAAAAATAAAAAATCAACTCCCCAGGTACTGAGTGTCCCCGATGGTGGCATGTCACCCCTTCAGGGAGCAAGACTCCTCACTAAATATTCTGAAGGCCTAACAAATGGACCCCTTCCCCCCCAACACCATTCGACCACAACTGGCCAACTGCAGGATAATGAGCAACCACGGATCCTCACCCAAACATTGGATTTCCTTCCAATGGTGCAGATTGAGAACGCAGGGACCTCGTCCTATTTCTGAACAGTGAGTCACGTCGCCGCTCAACGTCTGCTTCCCTATGAATGAGGCGACCCCCTCCTCTAATGAGTAAGGGCACGGCGACGGTTAAAGCCCCAGGGGGACAGTAGAAGCTCTCCGCCACTTTGGGGCTAATTCATCCCCTGATTATCTCCCACTCCATCGCCCCCTCCCCGCCCGAGGAAACACCCGGGGGCAGGGGCATCGCGGGGAGGCGGTTACCCCCAAAGGCGAACCCCTGACACTCCCTTGGACGGGCTGCGCGGGTGGCCCGGCAGGTGCAGGGAACCCGGGACTATAGGGGAGCGCGCCCCCACCCTCGCTGGGACAGACGGGGACCGCGGCCGGGCAGCCGGGGGCATCGCCGCGTCCCCGAGGGTCGCCTCCCCGCCCCGCCGGCTGCCCGGGCCGGCCAGGACCTCGGCGCTGCGACCTGCGCCGCCTCCTCCGGGCAACAAGTGTCCGCCCTCCGCCCGACGGCCCCACGGCACGGCCCTCACCCGGCACAGGCCGTCCACGAACACGCGCGGGTCCAGGTGGCAGGCGATGGTGGCGCTGGGCAGGTCCTGCAGGTCCACCTCCTCCATCTCGCAGTCGATGAAGCTCCAGTCGCCGCCGCCTTCGTCGGCCTCGGCCGCCCCCGAGAAAGGCGCGAAGGGCCGCAGCGTCACCCCGGGCCCCGCTCGCGCCTCGGCAGCCTCGGCCGCCGCCCCGACCCGGGGCCCGGCCACGCCGTCCTCCATCCCCGCGTCCGCCTGCGCGCGCCCCCGTGCGCCCCCGTCGGCTGAGCCGGGCTCGCGCGCAGGATCCTCGCGCTCTGCCGTCAGCCGACTCCGCGGTTAACCCCCTCGGGGTCGCGTCGCAGCCGGCGGCGGTCACCGGGACTCCCGGAGAGACGGCCTCCGCGCGCCGGTCCCGCCTGCCGCCGTTCCGCGGGGCGTCCCGCCCGCCCAGCCCCGAGGGCGGAGCTCTGGCGGATTTAGCCTTGGGCCCTTTAAGGCCGGTCCCCGCTGGGTTATTGTGTTCCGCCCTTCCAGGAGAAAAAGCCAATAAGAGAAGAGGATTCTCCTCACGTGATCCTCACTCTGCCGCCCTCACTCTGAAGCCTCAATGCGGCCATGTTGGTTAGGGGCAGAGGCCTCTTTAGCCAGTTCCGCTCTTCTGACAGCTGATGCCGGCAGAAAAGCGCCAGGCAGTGTTTTGGGCGCTGGAATGATAGCTGGAGAGGCAGCGCTTCTGTGGTTCCCTTGAGGTGACGCTTTGAGGCACATAGGCCAACTTCTGTGGATTTAAGCGAGATATAGTCCTGGCTATGGCTCCGTGGCCATTGGCAAGTGGTTAGATGCTTACCGTATATTATCAGATATAGTCGCAAGTAGGGAATTGAACTAGACCATAACTACGCCTTACTTTTATATTTCAGCGTATTAGTCATTATATCGTTGTTCAAAATTTATATAATCAGAAGTAACTTTTTTAATTTCCACCTTGTACTATGTACAATAGGAGATAAAGGAAGTAAAACATTGGTTCTTGCCTTTGGAGTGTTTATAGAAGGAAAGCAGAGGTCCTTAAATAAGCGTCTCACTCTCCCTCTCTCCCTTCCTGCAAAACAGATAGAATTCTTTCACTGCAAAAGACAATGTGGGAGAGCGAAAACGTGGGTCTGAATTTCAGCTTTGACGTTAATTACTTGGACAAGTAACCTGAATTTCAGTTTCCTCATCTGAAAAATGAGGTCATATATGGTAAGAATCCAGGAAGGGCCCAATGAAAGACAGTTCTGTTTATGTGCAGGGTTCTTTGAAAGATGTGAAATTAGACTTGTATTTTCTCCTAAAATAGGCTTACCCTCTAGTTAGGAACTGTAAGTGATTATAATAAAAAGTATGTCAACTGACAGCTGAGATTAATTCAGAACATGCCATGTGCTATGGTTGCTATTATGACAATCTCAGGGCATTTTGTGCCCTCTGCAAGCTTAAATCCAAGGGGAGTAGTAATATGCATGCAGAGATAACTCATAAAATGGAATGTGATGTGAGGACCTGGAGAAATTGGAACGATCGTATGTTGCTGGTGGGAGTGTAAAACAGTGCAGCTGTTTTGGAAAAACAGTTTGGCGGTTCTTCAAAAAGTTAAACTTAGAGTTATCACATGACCCAACAATTCCACTCCTAGATATAGACCCAGGAGAAATGAAAATGTGTGTCGACACAAAAATGTATATATGAAGGTTCATAGCATCATTATTCATAATAACCCAGAAGTGGAAATAACCCAGGTGTTCATCAACTGATGAATGGGTAAACCAGATGTCTATCCACACAATGGGAAATTATGCAACCACAAAAAGGAGTGAAGTACTGATAAATTCTACAACACGGACGAACCTCAAAAACATTACGCTAAGTGAAAGAAGCCAGTCACAAAAGGCACATATTGTATGATTGCATTTCTGTGAAATGTCCAGAATAGGAAAGTTCATAGAGACAGAAGGTAGATTAGTGGTTGCCAGGGGCTGGCTGGGAGAGGCGGGAAGGGAAGTGACTGCTAAACGGTGTAAGGTGAAGAAAATGTTCAAAACTTGGATTGTGGTGATGTTTGCACAGCTCCATGAATATACCACAACTCACTGAATTGCACTTCAGAGGGTGAATTTTATGGGATGTGAATTATATCTTAATAAAGCTGGTATTTACAAAAAAGAGAATGTGATAAAGGCCACGAGGGGTTAGACTAACTGTGGCAGAGTGGATGACATTGCAGAGTTGAAAACTCTATGAACTCAGTCAGACATTCTGGAAAGGGTAACAAAGAGGATGAGGCACCAGTTTTGGAAAAACAACTCCCAGCTACCCCGTTGCTGGGTGGGTCCGTGCTGTCATCACCCTTAGGACAGCACGCTCTTTCAATCCTGGCTTACCCTAAGCCGCTTACAGCATGCAGAGTGGGCCTGGTAGACAAAGCGTGTGAGAGCAAAAGAAAGTACCAGCAAAACAGAATCCTGAAATGCACGCAGAGCAGGCCATCACAGCTGGCTAGCCACTGAGCTAAGAGAGGAAATGGCCTAAGGACGCATTTCTCAGAATGAATCCCTGTCGTTAATCGAGACATGACTGTAATAGGGTTTGGAATGCAGTTAGTCATCACCAAGACAGACCAAGTCACACATCCCTGCAGTGATTTTGGATTCCCACCTTTCTCTCTCTCCTCTCACTCTCCAGGCAGCAAAGGAAAGGCGGTGACATTTCTCAGTTGTCTGTATGACTCCAGTAATAATGCCGACTTCATCTCGGTAGCTCTTAAATAGTTAATGAGTGTACACACATAAAATAGCACGCATGATCCTCACAAAAAGGTACTGTCACTCTAGATTCTTACAACTGAGGCTCAAAGCGATTGAATGACCTTCCCATAAGCAAGCAGGCAGCAAATGGCAAAGCAGGCCATCCTCCTGCTCTCATTCCCAAGATGCCTCTGCCCCCGGGGCTACAGGAAACAGAAAAATGGGAAGGAACCAACGAAAAATGGTGGAGAAAAGCAGAGGAGAGAGACAATAAAGCAGAGGAAATGGAGAGGTGAGAGAAAGGTAAGGAGTTTGAGAGCAGAAGGTAGGAGGTGCTTGAGGTTCAAAGAGATGATCCAAAGGAAGAGCTGTGTCTCCCCAGCACGGCCTGCCATGCAGGGCCCCCTCTCAGATACTCAGGGCCAGCGCTGGGCATGATGCCTGAGAGACAGCGAGCTCTCGAAATATCAGCGCCAAGTGATGGAAGCTCTCAATAAATAGGATTAGTGTCATGCCTTCCACATCTGGGTGCTCAAGGTTCTTGCCCTATTGCAGGTGACATATTTAGTAATAAAACGTCAGCTGCTTCTTTTCACTTAGAAAATAAAACTTTATAGTAAGTTCCATCTTCGTCATGCCTTATAAGTTTAAGGAGGGCAGATGCTCTGGCTTATGCCCTCACTGACGCTAACAATGAACACCAACAATCAGTGGAGGCTCCCAAGGAGGGAAAAAACAGAGAAAATGTGAGCTGTCAACAGCGCAGGCAGAAACCAAGCAGAACATGCTGCTTACGTATGGTCGCAGACATTTCCGAGGTAAAATCAATTAAACTTGAGGGTAATCTTTTAAGAGCTGTTCCACCATAGAACGTGTACAAAATTCCTCAAGCGTCTCTGGGAATTGTTCACTGTCCCTCTTTTTCCAGCTGTGGCGTGGGAATCTAAGATCTGTCTCTGCTTCCAGCTTCGGCATCTGTCTCACTAGAGAGCCTTTCCTTCTTGTTGGCTCACAGGAATAGATTGATCCAGATCTCAGCTACCCAGAAGGGGCAGGAGCCAACCCGACTCTCAGTGTTTCTGTGAATTCTGACTCTGAAATGGGGAAAGGGGCACACATTTTAATTAATATATCCTACCACCTCCCATTCATTTTCCTCCCCCTACACTTCCTCCATGTCAGCCTTGGCAATTACCGAATATAAAAGGAGAAGAGGCACTAAAAAGCCAAGTTTGGTTATTTTGGTTCTTAGCACCTGTTTCATACATTGAATGCAGGCCAGTTATGGAAAACACGCCTGTGTGCAGATAAACTAGCTTATTCACTTGCCAGGTGGGAAAGTTATCACTGTATGACGCTGTCAATTGCTTCCTATTTTGTTCTGGAAATTGAAAGGGGCTGTGTGCAGTAGGCACTCGCTGAATGATTATTAAATGAACCATTTCTGCACATTCTGGGAAATTATAGACATTTAAGAAATTTATTTAAGATAGAAGGCAAATAGCTGACGTTCTGAGTGTTTGCTGTCACAAAGAATGAACTGTTCCAAAGACGCTGGAACGCATAGATACATTAAATAACTCAAAGTTTCTATTTTGTTACCTCCGGTAAAATGAATAAAAATATATGCTATTTTGTTGTTAGTGTTGCTTTGGTTTGTCTGAGAAAGGAACTTTTTTCTCTACTCAAGATTCATTCTTAAAATCTGCTCTTAAAATCTGTTATTTTTTGTGATCTTCTGATGCTTTTTAAATCAGAAAGCCCGAGTTATAAATTAGGTGTTGGGGGAAATATTGGAGTTTGGTTGCTTTGCCTTTCCAAGTTTAGAAGGAATGTTCACTGCCTTTTACATTACTCTAAGCTCTCTTTCAAAGTTGCTGACACTTGTGTGGCTTTTATGTGAGTTACGATTCTTCTGGTTGCAAGTAACCCAAACCTCTGGGGCCAGTTTAAACAAGAGGGAATTTAAATCAAGGCTGTAGAGCATCTCATGTTAGCCAAAGGCAGGAATGCAGCCAGGCTTTGGGAAGGTCCTAGAGACTGAACCTCACTGGCTATCCAGAAGCCAGGTTGTCATTTTGGGCCATCTTGGGACCATCCAAGGTGGTGAATGGGCACATAAGCAAGTGGGTGTCCACTTCTGAAAGTTTGCAGCCCACGCATTTGCAGGGGGTTCTCACTGCTCAAAATGTCTCCCTTGGTGTTGAGCTAAGTTGTCGCTCCGGTCATAGCATCGCACCATCTCCTGTATCACTCCACAAGCTCAGAAGATCTGGTCTAAATTCCGGTCCTGTCCTTTGTTATCTCTGTGGCCTTGGAGAAGTCACTTGATCTCTTCCAGTCTCTAACTCCTCGTGTATAGAAAGGTGATGTCAATAGCTTCCTTTCAAAAGTGTTGTGGGGACTAGAAACCATATCCAACCTATGCCTGTCACAGAGGAGGGGCCCAGAGCGGAAGGATTATAATTCTGCTCTTGGTCCTGGATGTCCCACTTGCAGGCTCCCTTCTCTTCTGTGTTAAAGCCTCTTAACCGTGGGGTAGCAGGTAAACAGATCTTCCCCTCTGGCCAGCTTCTAGGGGATGAATACCAGGGCAGGATCTGGGTCTAGGGACT